GGGTTTTAAGTTAGTGGGTTATGATCTTTCAAAGTCAAACCCCTCACCTTAATATCTTCTTATTCAATTACTCTTCCAAATTTCATCAATTTAAGAAATTAGAAATTTATCCTTAATGAGACCAAAGTGAGATTGGTTGCTACCATTTATCCCTTTCATGTTTCAATCTTCAAGACATGTAAATTAAGATTATTTATTACCCATTTACCCTTTGGTTAGACCTAAATAGATTTAAATTCCAAAACTACCATTTTGCCCTTAAGGCCTTAACACCTCATAATTCGTTAAATCCATAGGACTAAGATTTTATGTTACCTCACTCATGAGTTAATTAAAATATTAAAGGAGAAAATATGATTTTTCTGAATTTATTTAATTTTATAATTATTTTTAATGCAAAAATATGGATTTTTGATGAAAATTCAATAAATCAAATAAAATAAAGCTCCTGTTCTTAAGAAAATTACTGAAGATTCAACTAGGTCAAAGGACCACTTGAAGCAATTTTCATGATTTTTAGAGGTTTAATTTAATTATTAAAATTATTTGTTTGTTTTGAATATTAATTAAATATAAAAATATAAAATATTATTTAAATGTAAAATTAAATTTAATATTTTCTTAAATTTCTCTAAGCATAGGGAACCCAAAGCAATAAATTTCATATTTTTTTGGTTTATATTTTAGTTATTAAAGTTATTTTAATGAAAAATTAAAGAAAATTCATTTTAAGCCTTTTAAAATTAATATTTTGACTTAAAAATTAGGAAAATTATTTTAATTGCTCTTAAGTAATCAAGAAGCCAAATGTGATATTTTAGTGTGTTTTTATAACTTTTTAATTTTTATGATTTTTAACTAATTTTTATTTATTTAAATACTTAAAAATAACTTAAAAATGAAGTATTTATTATAATTTCATTTTTATTTTTCTTAGGTTCCTCTGGTCATAAAGAGCTCCCAAAACCAATTTAGTGATTTTTGCGTTGTATTTTAGTTATTATAATTATTGTAGTGTCAAAAATGTCATTTCACATGATTAATTCATTTTAGTGGTTAAATTAATTTTAATTGACTAGAATTTTTTATGTGGAGTTCCTCTGATATTAAATTACAGTGGAGAATGATTTTTATGTCATTTACATTTATATTTTGACCAATTTAATTATATTTCATTTTTAGGGGTTGGTGACAATTAATGTTATTTTTAATGAGTTAAAACCAAATTTAAACTTTTCTTAGGGTACTCTGATCATAGTAAGCCTACCAAAATAAGGTTTGTATTTTTTTATTAATATTTTAATTATTATAATGATTTTACCAAAATTAACATGGCATGCTTGAAAAATAGATATCTCTGCCTAGAGGTCTCCCCTGACCTTGGAAAAATTAGGGAAGATCCCTCGTGACAAAGTGATCAAAAGCCCCAAAAATCAAGCCATGGTGAAATGTCCTTGCAAATGGAGAATTAAAGTAAGAAATACACCATTTAATTAATTGAAAATCGCACATGCATCAAATAAACATGAAACTATTTCCACATTGTTTTGCTCTGTTCACTGAGCATGATGATATTTTTATTTTATTTTTATGATTTTTCTATGCAAAGTTATAGATTTTTGAAGTTCTGGGATTTAAATAATTCAAGAAAATCCCTAATTTTCTATTTATCCACCACGGCGCCACCTCAATGTTGGCATCTCCGAACTTTCCACGAAGCGCTCCACTATTTGACGTCGCCAGACACCTCACTGCCCCGTCAACGCCCAGTTTCGTTCCATATCCTTGTCTAACTCCATCACGACCGTCCATTGAATAAACACGTGATCGGACGGTCCCCCGTCATCATCCCCGATGAACCAAACCCGTAAGGCGTCCAACTTCCAAACATAATATCTCACCGGATACTCAATCAAATCAAGTGCGGTTTGTTCCTATTAACGCGTCTAGACTAGGAGAACATATCCATACGGTTAATCGAGTCTTAAATCAAGTCTATGAGCATGGAGAATTCAAATAGGCTCGGTTTGAGGGGAGAGTTCAAAACCTTTGCCCAAGAGGTATGACCTCGATTAGGTGCTTCCAAAAGCTTGAGTTGATTTCAGAGAGCTCCTCGATGAAGCCTTAGGTCGTGGTGAATTGCCTAGGTACGATTTCGACCTAGGTCGATTTTGGGTGTTGACCAAAGTCTATGTTGGGGTGATCTGGTGATGGGGCTTTTATGGGGGATCTTCTTTTCACTCAGGGGCTGGTGTGTGCACAGTTAATTGGAGTTTGGTTCACTGTAGATCTATGGAGAAATATGTCCTGGTTTTAGGGCAAATTTCAGTGAAGAAATTGGCTTTGTTGAGTGACTGTGAGTGGCTGAGAGAAAGGGGATTGGACTTAGAAAGGTTTGGAGAGGTTCTATTGAGATTTTGATAGAGTTTTCCTAAGGTTTCAAACACTCTCCGTTTGGTCGTGGAGAGCTCCATTTATAGCCATGGCTGTCTGGTGGAGCTCAGGGCGTGGAGCT